TTTTGGCTGTTTTAGGCTGCTGGCATCAGGGTACGGAAATTTTTACCCTAAGGGTCAGGGTACGGGGGGCCTGGTACCCTGATTTGCAAGAGTGGACCTAAACCTATTTTGGGCCCTGGTTACCGTAACAAAGACCTCTTTTATCAAGATACCACATGACTGCCATGCCATGCCATCCAGGTCTCTCGCCTCATACGGTAGGCCCTATACCCACCACCTCATCATTGTCTGATGGGTAGTCTCAGAGCAGTATCATAAAGATGAACAATTAAAGGTGTTGTAATTGAAGCAATGCCTCACAGACTCCATACACACTACAACCTATCATCTTTAAAGATATGTGTGCACCCTGCACCCAAACAGCCAGGCATTTCCTATGCAGCTCCCCTCATGCAGCCATGCAAGATACTACTCACCCCTGATCTCAATCCTCACCTGCCGCCGCTGTTGCCGCCACTGCTGCCCCCATTCTTCACACCCCTTGCCTCCATGCCTCTCCTCAGCCCCTCCAGACACGACACTGTCAAAACCTCACCTCCCTTTCCATCACTACCTGCTATCCTACATGCCTATCTGCCTGCGCACATCATCATTTTCAAAGCAATCCCCTGGCGTATAAAGATATGTCGGCTTGGTCAGGGCAGTCAGCTGTTGCAGCCCATCATCCGTGACTGCCGTGCCATGCACACAAAGTTTCTCAAGCCCTGTCAGCCTCCCCACATGCACCATGCCAGCATCTGTCACCTTGCAATCAGAAAGATACAGCGCTTTGAGAGTGGAAAGTCCTGTCAAGTTAGGCAGACCAGCATCGGTCACCTTGGTCCTCCAGAGATAAAGTTCCTTGAGACTGGTCAAGGTCCCAACGCCTTCCAAGGCAATGTCTGAGACGTCTGTGTATTGAAGGTGTAAGATACCCAGCCGTGGCAGCCTGTAGAGGTGCTTGAGCCCCTCTGCACTGAAGCCTGCACTATTGAACAAGCTAATGCTTTCGTTGGATCATGGACGAGCATGGCGTCTGAAAGGCCCCTCAGACGGGCTAGTGACTACACAAGCACCTACACTAAAAGCACAAGTACCGACACTAGCAATAGGCAAAGGTCCTAAGCTAGGTTCACGTAAACCAAGAGATCCGTACGTGACAGAATAAACAGCATCCATAGACATATCAAACACAGGGTAACCACTACGAAACAGACCGGGCCAGATCGGGGGAGCCGACTCAGGCCCAAAACGCTCACGGTAAAGGTCGTCGAGGCGGCTGTAGCAGCGTTGTGCAGAGTGGTCAGGACGCCAGCAGGTAGTGCCAGCACCAGGGCCGGTCAGGATCCGGTACTGGCAGGGGCCGACGTCGCGGCCACCGCGACGAGCCCCCCAGCTGGCTGGGCCGCTGCTGCAGCCAACACGACCTGAACCACCAGGCCCCCACGGCTGCTGAGGGCGCCACAGCTGCTGAGGGCGCCCCTGCTGCTGCGGAAGCCACTGCTGAAACGGCCGCTGCTGCTGTCCCTGCTGCCGGAGAACCCTAGTGGACTCCATGATAAAAGCTAGCGGGGTGCAGGAGCGGCAGGCTAGGAGCGACAGGAGCTAGGGACGGGTGCAGTGAAAAACGAGAACAACTAGGAGCGCCAGGTGAAACTAGGCTAGTAACTGCTGGAGCACGGAGCGAACTAAGGTAGGAGCGCCAGGTGAAACTAGGCGAGGAACGGCTGGAGCACGGAGCAAACTGAGCTACGAGCGAGGAGCGAACGGCTGGAGCGAGAACGGCTGGAGCTAGAACGGCTGGAGCACAACCGGCTGGAGCTAGAAACGGCGAGCTAGGGCTGGCTGGAGGTAGGAACGGCCGGAGCTAGAGACCGTACGTGCGGCTGTCGGCTGACGCTAGTAGAGCCACTGGCAGTGGAACGTACGTGCGTTAGTAGGGGCTGCAGTACTGACGGCTGCGGGATGCAGGCAACTGTGCAGGTCGTCCGGCAAGCAGGAACGCGGGCGACAGTTGCAGGCCCTTTTTTATTTGAAGGGTTTAATTATTTATTTATTTAGTTTCTGGCGCTACCCGGGGCGCGCTACCCGCGCGGCGCGCTGCCTGCGGGGCTGGGGCGACGGGCCAGGGCGCGGGCTGGGGCGACGGGCTAGGGCGCGGGCTGGGCCGACGGGCTAGGGCGACGGGCTAGGGCGTGGGCCGGGGCGACGGGCTAGGGCGGGCGCCTGGGCGACGGGCTAGGGCGGGCGCCTGGGCGACGGGCTAGGGCGCGGGCCTGGGCGACGGGCTAGGGCGGGCGCCTGGGCGACGGGCTGGGGCGGCGGGCGCCTGGGCGACGGGCTGGGGCGGGCGCCTGGGCGACGGGCTGGGGCGGGCGCCTGGGCGACGGGCTGGGGCGGGCGCCTGGGCGACGGGCTGGGGCGGGCGCCTGGGCGACGGGCTGGTGCGGGCGCCTGGGCGACGGGCTGGTGCGGGCGCCTGGGCGACGGGCTGGGGCGGGCGCCTGGGCGACGGGCTGGGGCGGGCGCCTGGGCGACGGGCTCGTGCGGGCGCCTGGGCGTCGGGCTAGGGCGGGCGCCTGGGTGACGGGCTAGGGCGGGCGCCTGGGCGTCGGGCTAGGGCGGGCGCCTGGGCGACTGGCTAGGGGCGCAGGCTAGGGGCGCTGAGGGCGCTAACGCGCGGAGGAGGAGGGCGCTAAGGCGCGGAGATGGCGCGGAGGGCGCGGAGGCTAAGGCGCGGAGGGCGCGGAGGGCGCGGAGGGCGCAGAGGGCGCAAGGGAGCGGAGGGCGCTAGGGCGCGAGCTAGGCTAGGCTAGGCGAGAGGTTCGACACCTACTCATGATACCATCTCAAAGTTAGCGAACAACGGAATGTGTGAACTAGGGAAACAAGGGATACAAATAGCAACCCTAAAAGTGTTGTACTCCCTAGAGTGCTACTCACTGTAGCCTAAGAACCTATAATAACATTTGACATCTTTCCACATCATCACTACACGAAGAGCAGGCAGCACCCAAAGCCAGGCAGCCATGGCGTATGCAGCCTCCCCTCGTGCACCTGGCCTGGACTCTTGCCCAACCAGCCTTGCACCTCCAGTGCAAGTCACAAGCTCCACAACCACTCTCCAATTCGCTGCAACATGGAACTCCATTCCATGGCCGCCATTCAGCCGCACAACCACCATTATTCCATGCCTCACTCCTCTGCATGCATGCCTCCCCCCATTCTTCACACCCCTTCCCTCCACGCCTCTCCTCAGCCTCCCCAAGACAAGCAGAATCAACTCCTCCCTCACCTCACCTCCCTTTCCATCATCACTCCCTATCACCCTACTTGCCTATCCACCTGCATGCTTCATCATTTGTAAGGTAATCTCCTTTTGGCGGCTAGAAAGTTGTCAGCTTCTATAGGGCAGTCAACTGCTGCAGCCCATCATCCGTGCCATAAAGCCGAAGATCTCAAGAACAGTCAGCCTCCCCACATGCACCATGGTCCATGTCGGCATCTGTCACACCCTTGTATTCCAAAAGCCAGTTACCGTCAGGGCCCAAATTTCAAGGGTAAAATACCCTTTTTGCCCTGATGGTAGGCCGCTTTTTGGCAGTTACCCGCTTTTGGCCCTGATTCTTTTACCCTAGTGAAATCAGGATTCGTTGTAAACTACACTGGTAACAATTTTGGTTACACTGGCTGTATCAGGGTACGGGCCCAACTACACTTTTACCGGATCTTTTTTTAACCGAGGATTCCGCCACAGTGCGCGCCAAGACAAAACTCTCCACGGTCCCACTGGACCATTTGTACGGTATGCCCACTGGCGCGCCAACGTCGAAGCAGTGCGGCTGCACGCGCGCTCGTACGATTGGTCCGTTAAGCAAGATTTGCGCCAACGCACCCGGGTTTACGGCGTTCCTGTTTGTCAAACAGCCTAACAACAATTCTACCCTGGTACAATCAGTGTAACAGGATTTTTTGGCTGTTTTAGGCTGCTGGCATCAGGGTACGGAAATTTTTACTTTAAGGGTCAGGGTACGGGGGGCCTGGTACCCTGATTTGCAAGAGTGGACCTAAACCTATTTTGGGCCCTGGTTACCGTAACAAAGACCTCTTTTATCATGATACCACATGACTGCCATGCCATGCCATCCAGGTCTCTCGCCTCATACGGTAGGCCCTATACCCACCACCTCATCATTGTCTGATGGGTAGTCTCAGAGCAGTATCATAAAGATGAACAATTAAAGGTGTTGTAATTGAAGCAATGCCTCACAGACTCCATACACACTACACCCTATCATCTTTAAAGATATGTGTGCACCCTGCACCCAAACAGCCAGGCATTTCCTATGCAGCTCCCCTCATGCAGCCATGCAAGATACTACTCACCCCTGACCTCAATCCTCACCTGCCGCCGCTGTTGCCGCCACTGCTGCCCCCATTCTTCACACCCCTTGCCTCCATGCCTCTCCTCAGCCCCTCCAGACACGACACTGTCAAAACCTCACCTCCCTTTCCATCACTACCTGCTATCCTACATGCCTATCTGCCTGCGCACATCATCATTTTCAAAGCAATCCCCTGGCGTATAAAGATATGTCGGCTTGGTCAGGGCAGTCAGCTGCTGCAGCCCATCATCCGTGACTGCCGTGCCATGCACACAAAGTTTCTCAAGCCCTGTCAGCCTCCCCACATGCACCATGCCAGCATCTGTCACCTTGCAATCAGAAAGATACAGCGCTTTGAGAGAGGAAAGGCCTGTCAAGTTAGGCAGACCAGCATCGGTCACCTTGGTCCTCCAGAGATAAAGTTCCTTGAGACTGGTCAAGGTCCCAACGCCTTCCAAGGCAATGTCTGAGACGTCTGTGTATTGAAGGTGTAAGATACCCAGCCGTGGCAGCCTGTAGAGGTGCTTGAGCCCCTCTGCACTGAAGCCTGCACTATTGAACAAGCTAATGCTTTCGTTGGATCATGGACGAGCATGGCGTCTGAAAGGCCCCTCAGACCATGCTCAGATCATGGTCTCACCACTTCTTCTCTTTCTTCTCAGTAGTCACATCACCCCCCTTGGAGCCAACCCCCGTTGCAAGCTTCCCCTCCCCAACAGGAGCCTCAGCAGACCCCCTTGCACCAATGCTCTCTCCCCCCATCATCTCAGTACCACCAGCACGCTCAGCCCTACCCCTTGCGCCAATACTCTCTCCCCCCACATCTCCCCCCACATCTCCCCCCATCATCTCAGTATCCCCTCCCCCCGTTGCCCCCACATCTCCCCCAGCCGTTCCCCCTCCCCCCATCTCAGTGGTTCCCAAGCTCTCCCCCCCCATCCCAGCCCCCATACCACTCGTATCTGTTCCCTTTCCCATCTCCCCCATCCCACCACCCCCTGCAGCAGGCACACCAGTAGCAGTCCCACCACCCATACCACCACCACCACCCATTGCAGGCAGGCCCGTTGCAGTCACGCCCGTATCAGTCACACCAGGGCCCGTCACACCCATGGGCTGGTCGTGCAGTAGTAAATCGTCCTTCCCTCGGTATCAGTCACAGCAGCCACGCCCGTCGCACCTCCCCCTGCAGTGGGGAATTCCTGGGCCGTGCAGGTGAAACCTGGGCCTGTTGCCGTTGCCACGTAACCACCGCCGGCGTAACCGGGTGCAGAGACAGCAGTTCCGCCGCTTACTGCGTAGCCGGGAGCGCCAGTTGCTGCTTCCTGCGTGGGCTCGGTTGAAAACCGCTCCTGCTGGAAAAGCAGAAAGGGAGAGAAGAGCAAAAAGGGAGGGGAAGCTTGCAACGGGGGTTGGCTCCAAGGGGGGTGATGTGACTACTGAGAAGAACGAGAAGAAGTGGTGCTGTGACATGGTGGACGCATGGACGAGCATGGCGTCTGAAAGGCCCCTCAGATTCTTCAGGTCCAGATCGGTCTTCTGTGATGCTGACCTGATTGCCTGGAGGAAATTGGTGGAGAGGGAATGAATACAGATCAATGAATGCTTATCGTGGCAATAGCAAACAGCTGAGGCCCTGTCTGACACGTCATGTGTATTGAAGGTATAAGATACCCAGCCGTGGCAGCCTGCACAGTGCTGGGTGCCCTCTGCACTGAACCCTGGGCCCTGTCAAACGGTTCATTCAGCGCTCACCTCCCATGCTGTCTTCCGATGGCCTGCACTCTGGCTGATTTCCCGGTCAACATCCAAGTGGTTCCTGTAGGCAGCCAATTCCTCCTGCACCTTCCTCTTCTCCCCCCTCTCCCTTTCCAGCTCTGCTATAATTTCAACCTCTCGCTTTCTTGCCTCCTCTATTAGCTTCCTCAAATTTGATTCCCTCCTCTCGGCCACACCCAGCTGCTCTGCCACAGCGCCCTTGTGTTCAGCCAACTCCACCCTCACTGCGACCAGCTCCCTCTCCCTCTCCTCCACCTTCCCTCTCAACACCTCCACTCGCCTCCTCTCAGCCTCCTCCAACTGCAATGTAGTTAACTGCTTGTGCTCAGCAGCCTCCCCTCTCACTGCAGTCACCTCACCCTTCACTTTTGTCACCTCACCCTGCACTGCAGCCAGCTTCCCATTCACTTCTGCCAACTTGGCCCTGACTCCAATCACCTCCCCCTTTGCTGTTGCGTACTCTCTCCCCCTCTCTTCCACCACAGCAGCAGTCGCCGCACTCTTTTCTCCCACAACCCTTAGTGCCCGCCTCAACTCATTCACCTCGTTCCCCAAAACAGCATTCCTCTCCTCCAGCATCAACGCTCGCTCATTCTGTCGGGCCACCTCCTCCCTAACTGCTGCCAGCTCCCCCTTCACTGCTGCCAGCTCCCCTCTCACCAACCCGAAAAGTCCTTTCACCGCTTCAGCTATCGCATTTGTGTCTTTAATTGCAGCCATTTGTGTGGCTTGACTTCAGCCGGCAGTTTCCTTAATACGGGATGCTCGGAGGATGGCACTGTGGCATGCCGAAGTGGGGTGGAGGAGGAAGCATGAAGGTAAACAGGGTCCACACTTGAAAATCAGGAACAGGAATGCAAACCGCGAGTAAATAGACATGAGTAAATCAGTCCCAAAAAACATGAGCAAACCGCGAGTAAGTACATGCCTGATCACTTGAAGTGGTCGAGGCTGAGGTATCGCCGCAACCAGGCCCCCGCCCTGCCCAGATTACTCGACTGAGGCGATTGTTTGTTTGATATCAATCAAACAAACAATAGATTTCTACTGTGCGAGTTAAGCTTTCATCTTGATTTGACCCCAGCGCGACTTTCCAGAGGAGGTCGTACACAAATCAGCTCGCTTGTCTTGTCAGGGTGGTTTTCAGGTGTGTGTGGGTTCTCACAAGGGCATAGGAGGGGACATGGTGGAAGCTTTGGTAGTGCACGGTGGGTATTGCACGGGCGTTGAGGGCGAGGCGATTATTAATAGCCTCACCACCTGCTCGCGACTAGAGCTGGGTAGAGGAACTGCGAACTATTACAATTCTAGCAAGAAACTCATAGATAAACAGCAGCTCTAGAGTGGACGCAATGGCGACAGCTAAAACGGAAGGGATGTGTTGTGTTGAGTTCGCCTCACACGTCAAATGTCAGTGGTGACCCGCTTGGAGTTCAGTTCGCCTTAATAACGTGTGACGCCTCCATGCATGCTTACTGAGCTTCTCCTTTTCGCACTAAGCTCAAGGAACATGGAATTGAGATAACCAAGAGCTTCTCCATTATGCACTAAGCGTACTGCGCTTCTCCATTTTGCGCTAAAGGAGACGGATGGGAGACATCGGCACGAAAATGAGATAAACAGAGGGTAGGAGCATCGGCGAAAGGAGGAAATGAGGGTTGAGGGAAGTGTTGGTTTCCAAGCATGGATTCTACGACAGAACCAGCCTTACCTGTTTCTAGGGTTTCGAAAATTAAAACGTGGTGATAGAGATTAGCGCAGGCGCTTGGCTCTGAGCCCCAACAGGGCGCCGGACACGTCAAACAATCCGAAATGCAGATTTGTGAGTCTCACTCGAGAGAACGCGATGGCTTGGGAAGGTATAGAAGCGAGAACGAGCGGTAAAAAGACGAGAAGATAAGACACCGCGACGAGGGAGAAGAGTGATTCTGTCCCGATGACTGATACTAAGTGCTACGCGGATTCGGAAACATAATACGCGATTTTTATAACTAGTAGTAACGCGAAGCGACTGGAAGTGCTGCAAGGATGGTGGGATGAGCATGGGAGCAGCTCCTCGTCTGCGCTTGACATTGCCATTCCAGCACTTGCGGGCATTCCATCACAATAGTTTGGCTTGAATGGTTTTCCTCGTTGATGCTGGGGTTACCAGACCTTATCCGACGACGAAAGTGCAGAACATGCATCAGAGGGGAGCCGGAACCGCACAAATGTCGTCACCTGCTCGGAAAGAAGGTGTTCTTGAAACAAAAACGATATCTTGATTGCGTCAGGTGAACACGGGAGCACTGGAAGCGAACGTGCACGCACCCTCATTTCGTACTCTGATCAAGGTATTGTTGGGCGAACAAAGATTGACACAAGGCCTGCAAATTTGGCTTTTTGCATCGCAGCACTTAGGGTCTGGCGAAGTCGAGGTGGTAACTGCTAAAAACCCAATCGACCATGTTCTCGAATCAACGCATGTGTCGAAGGATGGAACATCCCTTTCCCCAAGCACGTGTCATGTCAACAAGCTTCTCTCGGCCAGTGCGGCGTGAGGCATAGTAGACGAAGAGCACATCTTCTCAACGTGAGAAAAGGTGATCCGAATCGCCACTACGAAATCACTAACGGCGGCGCCGATATCTCGTAGTCATCCGTACAATATTCTCTGCATCGTGTTCTCTCTGTTTTGCCTCTTCCCCTCAGCACTCTCGAATCGCCAAGCCTCGCCATCACGCAGCACGCATTGCAGCTCGAATTGATCCGCGCCGCTGCTGAGTCTCTTCAAGGGCCGCGGAAGCGCGATAGCACCGACAACCTAATTAGAGGTCAGCCCCCGTTTCCCCGCCGGTCCGCATTTTGAGCCTTGCAAGCCTGCGCCTCACAGCCTACGAATCACGGTGCTTCATTGTTGTGTCAGAGCCCGATGTGCAACTTCTAGTTACATGCCGAGTCGCTTACGAATTCTGCAGACCGCCGAGAGACTAGCAGAACAGAACCCCTTGACGCGCTCTTAGCCCCTCGTAACATTGTTGGCCCGGCCCCTTCCTGTGCTGAGTTTACTCGCCCTGGCCACGCTGTCAATGACCGTCCAACCGCTGTCCACCTGTCAACCAACTCAGGTTGTGGCCAACCGCATTGTTAATCTCGGCCCTTTTCGTGCTGCTATTGTTTCGTCTAGGCTCATTAACCATGCTGTCACTGACCTAGGCTCTGATTGACCTAGGCTCGGATTGACCTAGGCTCGGATTGACCTAGGCTCGGATTGACCTAGGCATTAAATTGACCTAGGCTCGGACCGACTTAGGCTTTGATTGACCTAGGCTCTAATTGTCCTTAGGCTTGATTTGACCTAGGCTCGGATTGACCTAGGCTCGGACTGACCAAGGCTCTCATTGACCTAGGCTCTAAATGTCCTAGACTCTGATTGATCTAGGCTCGAATTGACTTTGGCTCGAATTGACCTAGGCTCGGATTGACCTAGGCTCGGATTGACCTAGGCTCTGATTGACCTAGGCTCGGTTTGACCTAGGCTCGGATTGACCTAGGCTCGGACTGACCTAGGCTCGGTTTGACCTAGGCTCGGATTGACCTAGGCTCGGATTGACCTAGGCTCGGATTGACCTAGGCTCGGATTGACCTAGGCTCGGATTGACCTAGGCTCGGATTGACCTAGGCATTAAATTGACCTAGGCTCGGACCGACTTAGGCTTTGATTGACCTAGGCTCTAATTGTCCTTAGGCTTGATTTGACCTAGGCTCGGATTGACCTAGGCTCGGACTGACCAAGGCTCTCATTGACCTAGGCTCTAAATGTCCTAGACTCTGATTGATCTAGGCTCGAATTGACTTTGGCTCGAATTGACCTAGGCTCGGATTGACCTAGGCTCGGATTGACCTAGGCTCTGATTGACCTAGGCTCGGTTTGACCTAGGCTCGGATTGACCTAGGCTCGGACTGACCTAGGCTCGGTTTGACCTAGGCTCGGATTGACCTAGGCTCGGATTGACCTAGGCTCGGATTGACCTAGGCTCGGATTGACCTAGGCTCGGATTGACCTAGGCTCGGATTGACCTAGGCTCGGATTGACCTAGGCTCGGACCGACCTATGTTTTAATTGACCTAGGCTCTCACTGTTGCTCGGCCCCTCCCATGCTGTGTTTCCTCAGCCTGTTTCCTTGCACTGATGCAGGCTGGCCGACCTAGCCTCATCTTGTGACCCAGCCTGTGACTGAGCTTGCCGTGACTGACCAAAATTGTCTCACCTAGCCTGTGACTGACTGACCTAGACATGTGCACAGGACAGGCCGAGTCGAATCAAATAGAGTCGGCCCTATCTACAATCAATTGAACTTATCGAACTTGTCTGACCTACTTGTGACTGACTGACTGGCCTAGCTCCAGGGGAGTCGATTCGACTCTGATTCTGACTTGGCTCTGGCCCGAGTCAACTCGCGAGTCGAGGTGGACGTGACCTGGTAATGTGGCTTTTCAGTCACATAAGATGTGTGCTTGTAGGTCGATTTGGCTGGTTGTTTAAACGCTACAGAGATACTTATGTTCCAGTCACGAATCACTATGAGCTGAAACGGATTGCTTGGCGGTGCTAAAATAGTAGGAACAGCCTAAAACTAATTGTAGGTGCTGATTGCTAGGTGCTAAGATAGGAAGGACCTAAAGCCGATTGTGAGGTGCTAACGTAGGAACGACATATAGCTGATTGCTAGGTGTTAGATAGGAACGACCAGCGAATGAGCAAGCGAGTAGGCTGGCGCTAAGGAACTCGATTCAAGTCCAACCTCTTGGGCGTAACTTGTGTCGGGCCTACCTTGTGCTTCACCAAGCCTGTGAGAGTCCTAGGCTGTGAGTGTCATAGCCTGTGACTGACCGAACCTCTGACTGACCGAACTTGTGTCTGACCTACCTTGTTGTTGACCTGGCCTGTGACTGACCTAGCTCTGTTTGACCTATCTTGTGACTGTCATAGCCTCCGACTCACCTATTTTGTAAATGACCTTCCGTTTGGCTAAACTAGCCTGTGACCAATATAGCCTCTGACTTACTATTGGATCTAAGGGTCCTAGCTTGTGCGGAGGTAGCGTCAGATGGATATAGATTTCATCTGAAGTAGCCGAAACGTGACCTAGCCAGTGAGTAACCTACCTCGGACTGGCTGACTGACTTGAGAATGGACTAGCTTGGGACCGACCTAGCCTGTAGTTGCTGCCCTAGGTTGTGATTTGCCTAGCTTGTGACTTGCCTAGCTTGTGAGGTCCTAATTTCGTGAGCGACCCACTTCCGACTGGCCTTTCTTTTCACCACCAATGAGCGAGATGGTTTTGCCTGTCACATTGTGTGAACAGTAGCCGGTTCAGAGCCTTCAGGTCACCCCCATAACAAGTACAGCCGCTCTCCTTCCTACCAAGGACCCCTTTCAACCTCTTCGACTCTCTGATTCCACAATATTGTGGTGTGTTCTATGCATGAGCAATGGCCGAGTTGATCCAGGCTCGCTTGGTGTCATGGCCGAGCCGAGTCTGACTCGCTCCGAGCCAAAGTTTCTGCCTGCCCGGCTTGTGGCTGGGATCTAATGGCCGAGTTGAGGAGGCTGGCGGTAGCAAGTTGCCGGGCTTGCCACTAGGCTCGCAACTCGCGAGCCACCCTGTCTCGACCTCCTCCACTCCAGGTATAATTCTCCAGCTCAGGGGATGTACCATGTCTTACGCTCCCTGCCAGCCTCAGCTGGCGGAGGAGCTATGAAATAAGGGCGTCTTGGATGCCCCAGATCTGACTTAAACAGGCGTGTAATAGAAAATCTGCGCGACCTGAGTCACACTGGTTTCTGACCAGCCCTGTCTCTGAGACCCAAGGTTTCCAATCCAAGCTGCGTTGCTAGTTGACTTCAGGAATCTTCGGTCTAGGCTCAAAGAACACCTCAAACAGCCGGCCAAGCCATCGCTCAGCACTTCGCCCACCCAAATTCTGTATCGCATTCACTACCATTTTTGTTCTCCCTTGTCCCTTCAGGTCCCCTCAGTGTGTGCTCGCTCCTGCTTCCCTCACATGCCTTACTGTGGTAAGGAGATGAGCTGGCAAGGCCACAACATGCCTGGCAGGCTGAGCTGAGCTCGTCGCTTTGTGGTCACTGCTGCTACGCATCCTCTTGCAGCATCCTATCTTGCTCCTGTCCTCCTCCCCGATTGCTTTCTGGCCTGTTCCTGTCGGTTCTACTGCCACGGTTTGCAACCCTCACCTCACCTACTTGCATCAATTCCAAGGTGTGGTATGAGTAACGTAACTTGTGAACACACTGAATACACATGCGTTTCTCGAAACAAATGCGGCTTCTCTTCTTTTGGTTTTCGAACTCTTTCTTTCTCCCCTCTTTTCCTTACACGGCAAGTGCCATTACAAAAATCACCTTTTCTGTTACCACCGTTGTTCATGGGACTTTGCTGCTCTGCTCGTGCAGCTCACTTTATGTCTGATGCTCCACAACTAGCATACCAGCCCCCTCCATATACTTCTCTTCCCCCTCGTTCCCCCTTGTCCCTTGAACCTGGTTATCTTCCCCCTTGTTTATCGTCTCTGGTTCCTCTCAATGCTTCTTTTTGTGCTTCCATTTCACCCTTTCAGAGTGAAATCTCCACTTGTCTCTACTTACTCCTCCCATTGTTCGTGTCCTTCATGGCTCGTGAGACGTAGTGAAGCATTTCACATCACTATCAGAGTCTCCTCCTCGTGAGCTAGAGTCTGCAGGTCTCCGCCCTTCACCCTATGCATTCTGACAAGGGCTCAGTTCATTCTGCCATGCCTTGGCATCATGCCTCCATGTTCTTTAGCTTCTTACCTCTTCTCTTACTCACATAAATGTCTCGTCCGTTATGCCTGTGCAATTCCTTGTGCGTGTATTCATTACCACCAGCTTCCTCCTCTTTGTGCCCGATCCTACCCTACCAGGCCTTGTCTACTTTCATCAATCTGCAGTGAAGTGGTTGAACCCCAGGGTCAGTCATTGAATTGGAGAAGGGCTGTTTCAGGCGATTCTAGTGGATGATATGGCTGCTGAGAGAGTCACGTGTGCAGTGAATGAGCTGATCAAAGAGGCGGTGCTGGCAGCAGTGAGAGAGGAGCTGGCTGCACACAAGGAGGAGGTGGATGAGCTGCGGCGCACATTGCTTGCTGCGGGGGACCAGAGTAACGCGACTGCTGTGGTGGAGAGGGAGAGAGAGTTTGCAATTGTGAAGGGGGAGTTGGCAGCGGTGAGGGCGGAGTTGGAAGCGGTGAAGGAGGAGTTGGAGGCGGTGAAGGGGGAGTTGGCGAAATACAAGGACGCTATGGCAGAGCAACGGGCTGAAAGTAGTAGAGCATCGGGTGTAAGGGGGCTGGGAGGGAGGAGTAAGAAGAGAAAGCAAGAAACGTCAGTGGAGTTTGGAAGGGAGGAGGAGAGGAAGGAGGTGCAGGGATTGGATCGGCCGTGTTCCAGGGAGGAATCGGCAGCGTGCAAGGAGCAGCAAGCAATAAAAGATCTGATGCTGAATGTAGAGCTGGAAATCAGGCAGAGTGAAGGCGATCAAAAGAAAGCATTGGAGGTGAGTGCTTGTTGTTACTTCCTGTCTCCATAGCTCTTAGCCAGAATGAAGGCGGCCAATGACTGCATGCCGGGTGTGTGCCGAGTGAGTGTGGTCATTTCTTCCCTAGACATGCTTTCCCTCTCCATCTGTTTCCTCCAGGCAATCAAGTCAGCATCAGAGAAGACCCTCCTGGACCTGAGTATTCTCTGCGGCCTCTCAGACGCCATGCTCGCCCATGTGTCCACAATGACACGTCTGACGAGCATTGACTTGCGTTGTAGCTCTGGCTTCACCGCAGAGGGCGTCAAGCACCTCTATAGGTTGCCACAGCTGGAGGAGCTCGAGCTGAGGTGCACAGACATATCAGACAACGCCTTGGAAGGGATTGGGTCTTTGACCAGTCTCAAGGTGCTCTCTCTCATGAAGACCAAGGTGACCGCTGCTGGTCTAGCGCACTTGACGGGTCTCTCCTCTCTCGAGGAGTTATGGCTTTGTTACTGTGATGGTGTTACAGATGCTGGCATGGTGCATGTGGGGAGGCTGACAGGGCTTGAGACCATTGCTCTGAATTTCACAGCAGTCACAGATAATGGGCTGCAGCAGCTGACTGCCCTGACCAGGCTGAGTACTCTCTTTCCGCCAGAAGGGGACTGGCTCAGAAACGATGAAATCCGCATGCGGGTAGCAGGTATGGTGGCCGGCAGTGAGGATGGAAGAGGAGGATGAGGTGAGGGAATAGTGACTGACTGTCTAAGGGAGACTGAGTAGAGGCGTGGAGGCAAGGGGTGTGAAGGATGAGGGGATGCGTGCATGCATGCGGAAGAGTTAGGCGTGGAGTTGCACGGCTCAACTTGCATGCTGCTGTATTGGAGTGACTTTTGAGAATTCTCAAAAGTCACTCCAATATAGGCGTGGAGTTGCACGGCTCAACTTGCATGCTGCTGCAGAGAGTCGGAAAATGGTCCTGTGCGCCTCATGCCTTGCGGTTGGACAGAAGCAGATGCAGGGCTAGATGAGCAAGAGACCACTGTGTGCATGAGGGGAGCTGCATAGGAAATGCGTACCTGGCATTTCTTATTATAGATGGGAGGCGGTCAAAAGCAGGGCGGAGGGGGAAGGGGAACGGGAGGGGGGAGGCGAGGCAGAGCAGGAGGTGAAGCTGGGGGCAAGTGCGAGCAAGAGAGCAGTGAGGGAGGCGAGCATAATGGCGGCAGCAGTGGCGGCAACCGTGGCAGCAGCATCAGCAGTGGCGGCGGGCGAGGGCTGGGGGTAGTAATGTCTCGCATGGCTGCATGAGGGGAGCTGCATAATAATTGCTGGCTGTTTGGGTGCAGGGTGTAGTGCGTATGATGGATGTTGTAAGGCAAGGCACTGCTGAAATAATACCATGAAGTGCCTCGATAAGTTCTGCATGATAATGCTTTCTTGATAGTGTTGCAATACTACGATGCTGAGATGGTGGATATAGGGCCTGAGACTGAGAGGAGGGACTTGCGTGGCAAGTAGTCATGTGGTATCATGAGAGCTGAGGTGCAAGCAAGTTTTACAGGTAAATTCACCAATGGGTACCGTATTATTCATCAATGTTGTGTACACTTCCACCACATTTTTTTTTACCATACTCAACATGTACGCATGCGCAGCAGCTTGCTATACGACATATTGTTGGCCAAGCTGGACATCAGGGCATGATTCATGGGACGGAGGGCAGCTGTAAAGCGTGAGTGGGCCTGTGCCTGCATGGGAAGGGTAGAAGCCACGCATGCTGCTGCATCACTCACTCATATGGCCCATTTACTGGCATGCAGGAGGTAAAAGAAGAGTACATGCTATTACTGAATGAAGAGCACGCATGAGTAAGGGGCACGCAAGAGAGGAAAGGGACTGAAAAAGGAGAAACTGGTTCAGAAATGAGAGTGCAGGGGGAAGTGTAGTCAGTGTTGCTATCGGATAATCGGATGAGGTGTTTGAAGCTGTAAACATGATCGTGTTGGATGGGAGATTCAGTTCGATCTAGCGCACTCTCTCTCTGCATAAATTCACGTGCAAGTCGATGCCGACTGTCCAGCCGGTAAGAAGGGGGTGCAGTTGCCCTTATGCTAAGAGTGAACGACTCCTTAGATTGTGCACAATGAGGTGAGGGGCGTGTAAATTGATGCAGTTGCCGAGCTGGTGGGAGAAGGGAGGCGGACGGGGAGAGAGAGGGCAAGAGGGGGGGTTGGGGAGGAAGGGGAGGAGAATGTCAGAAGGGGAGGAAAAATAGGCACGAATTGGGGGGTGGGGAGAATGTCAGAAGTGTGGCATGTGCAAGTTGATGCAAGGATCGGGGAGGGAGGGTGAGTAGTGGGGGAAAGGAGGAAACGAAAAGACATGAAAAACAAGAGTGAGAAGTGGGGAGGGAGGACAGCTGGTAGAGTAGGCTGACACTACCTATCAATTCTCTCTCACATCCAAATGATGAACGCATGCACTTTCTTGGTTTCAGCAATTGACTCGTGCATACAACAGCAGGTGCAGCACATCTCATCTCGCCAGCACTCCCACTCAAACACTGCCCCTGAACCCCACCACCCATCAACCCCCATGCACATTCACCTGAAGGCCCTTCTTTGCTGCAGCAACGTAGAGCCTAGCCGTTACCTCCTAGTCAGTTGTGACGAGGCAGAACAGTAAGACACATCCTCCAGCACTGGCAGAAGGGCGCAGTGACTCTCGGTCTTGAACAGGCCTGGCATGTCAGAGATGATTCCGAGGACATGGCCCCCTCAGTGCACATCATGATTCGTGTGCCACTCCCACCATGCCTGAGTGTGGAGTCTGGAGGATAAAAGGAGGGAAAGGAGAGGGAAAGGGGAGGGAATGGGGGGGGGGGGGGAAGAGGGAGGGAATGGGGGGGGAACGGGAGGAAACAGGGGAGGAAACAGGGGGGAACGGAGGCGGGAGAAGGAGGGAAAGGAGAGGGAAAGGGGAGCTAAGCTAGTTTCTTAGTTCAGTTGACCAAAGCCAAGGGATAGATCGGAGATCTGCAAAACTGGAACCAGCGGTGCCGAGGGCCTATTCAAAACATGGATGAGCAAATTTGGCTTGGAAAATAGGAAGTCGAGTTGGTTCAAAACAAGTGACATGAATCTCAGGCAACCAAAACGGTGCTTAGAATCTGTTCTACACTTTGACACAGTGTTACCAAAACAAAGAATCAAATCTCCACGAGGAACAGAGTGTAAGAAAGTCACACACATGAGACATCCTACCAATGCAACGGTGATAACACGACTTCAGCGATGGTGTTGCGAGGTTGACGTCCATCCAACTCGGCTTCTCCCACCTCCGCGTTGGCACCATCCTCGCCCTGCTGCCGTCAGCTACGACGCCGCGCACATTCCACGCAGTACTGCCAGTGGCACGACTCGGCAGTGCCTTCACCGACGGCGAGTGCGGTGGTAAGAGCCACCATCAAAGTTGTTCTCTCCAAAGTACGAGTGCTGTTGGGTGTGGAAAGAGGAGGGGAGTTGTGGGGGAGATGCCACGTGCATTCCACCACGTGCAGCAGTGCCATTACCCGCGGCGACTGCAGCGGAGAGAGCCACCATGCGCTGTTGGTGTGGGAAGAGGAGGGGCGTTGTTGTGGGGAGTGCACAGGGGCATGAATGCACCAAGGGCCCTTAAATAATGAGTAGGAGAAGGCACCAAGGGCCCTTAAATAGGCTCAGAGGAAGAGGGCCGAGGGCAGAGGGAGAGGGCTGGGTGCTAAGGCCTTCTCTCTCTCGCTCTCTCGAGCCGCCGGAAACTGAGAACACACGAAAATCAGCGATGAGATTCATTATGCTTTGGCACCACACTGGCACCAGAAAAACAGAACTGGGCGCGGACAGGAGACGGCACAAAGAGGCCGACGCAGCAGTGCATTCACCCATGGGGAATGCGGCGGTGAGATCCAAAATCGGATTCTTGCCGAACGAGGACTCCTCGACGGGACGGGGGGTTGGGGTGGGGAAGAAAAAAGGAGGGCGAAGGGGGGGGGGGAGGGGAAGGGGGGGAGGGAAGGGGGAGAAGCTAGGGGAAGGGGGGAGAGGAACGTGAGAGAAGATAGAGGAGCTACCTGCTTAGGTGCTACCTGCTTAGGTGCTACCTGCTTAGGTGCTACCTGCTTAGGTGCTACCTGCTTAGGTGCTACCTGCTTAGGTGCTACCTGCTTAGGTGCTACCTGCTTAGGTGCTACCTGCTTAGGTGCTACCTGCTTAGGTGCTACCTGCTTAGGTGCTACCTGCTTAGGTGCTACCTGCTTAGGTGCTACCTGCTTAGGTGCTACCTGCTTAGGTGCTACCTGCTTAGGTGCTACCTGCTTAGGTGCTACCTGCTTAGGTGCTACCTGCTTAGGTGCTACCTGCTTAGGTGCTACCTGCTTAGGTGCTACCTGCTTAGGTGCTACCTGCTTAGGTGCTACCTGCTTAGGTGCTACCTGCTTAGGTGCTACCTGCTTAGGTGCTACCTGCTTAGGTGCTACCTGCTTAGGTGCTACCTGCTTAGGTGCTACCTGCTTAGGTGCTACCTGCTTAGGTGCTACCTGCCTAGGTGCTACCTGCTTAGGTGCTACCTGCCTAGGTGCTACCTGCCTAGGTGCTACCTGCTTAGGTGCTACCTGCTTAGGTGCTAACTGCTTAGGTGCTACCTGCTTAGGTGCTACCTGCCTAGGTGCTACCTGCCTAGGTGCTACCTGCCTAGGTGCTACCTGCTTAGGTGCTACCTGCTTAGGTGCTACCTGCTTAGGTGCTACCTGCTTAGGTGCTACCTGCTTAGGTGCTACCTGCCTAGGTGCTACCTGCCTAGGTGCTACCTGACTAGGTGCTACCTGCTTAGGTGCTACCTGCCTAGGTGCTACCTGCTTAGGTGCTACCTGCCTAGGTGCTACCTGCCTAGGTGCTACCTGCCTAGGTGCTACCTGCCTAGGTGCTACCTGCCTAGGTGCTACCTGCCTAGGTGCTACCTGCCTAGGTGCTACCTCCCTAGCTGCTACCTCCCTAGGTGCTACCTGCCTAGGTGCTACCTGCCTAGGTGCTACCTGCCTAGGTGCTACCTGCCTAGGTGCTACCTCCCTAGGTGCTACCTGCCTAGGTGCTACCTGCCTAGGTGCTACCTGCCTAGCTGCTACCTGCCTAGCTGCTACCTGCCTAGCTGCTACCTCCCTAGCTGCTACCTCCCTAGGTGCTACCTCCCTAGGTGCTACCTGCCTAGGTGCTACCTGCCTAGGTGCTACCTGCCTAGGTGCTACCTGCCTAGGTGCTACCTGCCTAGGTGCTACCTGCCTAGGTGCTACCTGCTTAGGTGCTACCTGCCTAGGTGCTACCTGCCTAGGTGCTACCTGCCTAGCTGCTACCTCCCTAGCTGCTACCTCCCTAGGTGCTACCTCCCTACGTGCTACCTGCCTAGGTGCTACCTGCCTAGGTGCTACCTCCATAGGTGCTACCTGCCTAGCTGCTACCTCCCTAGGTGCTACCTCCCTAGGTGCTACCTGCCTAGGTGCTACCTGCCTAGGTGCTACCTGCCTAGGTGCTACCTGCCTAGGTGCTACCTCCCTAGTTGCTACCTGCCTAGGTGCTACCTGCCTAGGTGCTACCTCCATAGGTGCTACCTGCCTAGCTGCTACCTCCCTAGGTGCTACCTCCCTAGGTGCTACCTGCCTAGGTGCTACCTGCCTAGGTGCTACCTGCCTAGGTGCTACCTGCCTAGGTGCTACCTCCCTAGGTGCTACCTGCCTAGGTGCTACCTGCCTAGGTGCTACCTGCCTAGCTGCTACCTGCCTAGGTGCTACCTCCCTAGGTGCTACCTGCCTAGGTGCTACCTGCCTAGGTGCTACCTGCCTAGGTGCTACCTGCCTAGGTGCTACCTGCCTAGGTGCTACCTGCCTAGGTGCTACCTGCTTAGGTGCTACCTGCCTAGGTGCTACCTGCCTAGGTGCTACCTGCCTAGGTGCTACCTCCCTAGGTGCTACCTGCCTAGGTGCTACCTGCCTAGGTGCTACCTGCCTAGGTGCTACCTGCCTAGGTGCTACCTCCCTAGGTGCTACCTGCCTAGGTGCTACCTGCCTAGGTGCTACCTGCCTAGGTGCTACCTGCCTAGGTGCTACCTGCCTAGGTGCTACCTCCCTAGGTGCTACCTGCCTAGGTGCTACCTGCCTAGGTGCTACCTGCCTAGGTGCTACCTGCCTAGGTGCTACCTGCCTAGGTGCTATCTGCCTAGTTGCTACCTCCCTAGGTGCTACCCAAGGATCAAAATTACGGTTATCGTATTATACGGTCCGTATAATACGGTCGTTTTTTACGGCCAAATATCCAAAAATACGCCGTATTTTTGATAGATTTTTAAAAAGCGTAGTTTTCTCCTAGCAATCACTGAATTTTTTTGAAACCGTATTTTACGGTCGTTTTATACGATTCCGTATTATACGGTAGAATTTCAATAATTCGGTCGTAATTTTGAACCTTGGTGCTACCTGCCTAGGTGCTACCTGCCTAGGTGCTACCTGCCTAGGTGCTACCTGCCTAGGTGCTACCTCCCTAGGTGCTACCTGCCTAGGTGCTACCTGCCTAGGTGCTACCTGCCTAGGTGCTACCTGCCTAGGTGCTACCTGCCTAGGTGCTACCTCCCTAGGTGCTACCTGCCTAGGTGCTACCTGCCTAGGTGCTACCTGCCTAGGTGCTACCTGCCTAGGTGCTACCTGCCTAGGTGCTATCTGCCTAGCTGCTACCTCCCTAGGTGCTACCTGCCTAGGTGCTACCTGCCTAGGTGCTACCTGCCTAGGTGCTACCTGCCTAGGTGCTACCTGCCTAGCTGCTACCTCCCTAGGTGCTACCTGCCTAGGTGCTACCTGCCTAGGTGCTACCTGCCTAGCTGCTACCTCCCTAGGTGCTACCTCCCTAGGTGCTACCTCCCTAGGTGCTACCTGCCTAGGTGCTACCTGCCTAGCTGCTACCTGCCTAGCTGCTACCTCCCTAGGTGCTACCTCCCTAGGTGCTACCTGCCTAGGTGCTACCTGCCTAGGTGCTACCTGCCTAGGTGCTACCTGCCTAGGTGCTACCTGCCTAGGTGCTACCTGCTTAGGTGCTACCTGCCTAGCTGCTACCTCCCTATCTGCTACCTCCCTAGGTGCTACCTCCCTAGGTGCTACCTGCCTAGGTGCTACCTGCCTAGGTGCTACCTGCCTAGGTGCTACCTGCCTAGGTGCTACCTGCCTAGGTGGTGCTACCTCCCTAGGTGCTACCTGCCTAGGTGCTACCTGCCTAGGTGCTACCTCCCTAGGTGCTACCTCCCTAGGTGCTACCTGCCTAGGTGCTACCTGCCTAGGTGCTACCTGCCTAGGTGGTGCTACCTCCCTAGGTGCTACCTGCCTAGGTGCTACCTGCCTAGGTGCTACCTCCCTAGGTGCTACCTCCCTAGGTGCTACCTGCCTAGATGCTACCTCCACAGGTGCTACCTGCCTAGCTGCTACCTGCCTAGGTGGTGCTACCTGCCTAGGTGCTACCTGCCTAGGTGCTACCTGCCTGGCGGCAGCCTTTGCCAGGAAGAACGGATTGACAGGCGAGGCCCCAGCAGCAGGCAGAAGGGTGGAGAGCAGAGAACGCGAGGGGGTGGAGGGGCTACACCTGCAGGCAGCTCGCCCTTGTCTCCCCCGTGCGCCTTGACTTTTAAGTTGACTTTTGAGTTGACTCAAAAGTCAGCTCGCCCTTGTCCCCCCCTTGCGCCTTCCAACCTCACTGCAACATGCTCCCACGCCCACACCTCACTATGATCCAGCTCCGCCTGCTTGTGCCCCTGCTCCCTCTCTCAACTCGCTCCATCTGTCTACCCCTACTTCACATCGACAGCCTCTCGTCAGCACCAATCCTGCCTGTTGCACCCCATGTTAGCACCCAGCATCGCTTCGGCTGCTGCTGCTGCTGCCTTAACGAGTACTTAAATTGTGTCACCGCTCCGATCCCTCAATCCCTGCCCTCCATGCACATGCACCTGTGTCTATCCTTGTCCCGGTTCTCGACTCGTCTAGGTCACTAACATAATTGGCCGCCGCCTGTGTCTACACCTGTGTCTACCCCTGTCCCGGTTCTCGTCCCGGTGCTTTCACCCGCCGCCGCCTCCTCGCATCTGCCCCACCCGCTGCACCATCGTTTCCTCTTGCCACCCGACTCTCTGCTGTAGCCCAGCTGCAGCCGACACTTGGGCTGCTGCTCCTGCTGCTGCTGCATCAACGAGTGCCAGGATCCCTCCGATCCCTTGGCTCCTACCCGCCATACACCTGCCATGCCACTGCCGACGCACACCATCATGGCACTGGGGAAGTGCAATGCGGAGAGGGAAAGGAACAGAGGGGGGATTCAGGAGGGGGAGCGGGGTGTGTGTGGGGGAGGGGGGAGGGCGAGGGGTGTGGGGTAGGGGAACAGATCCCCACCGTCCGTGTCGCTGTGGCATATTTCACATCTACGGGAGGCAGCAAGGCGCAGGGTCGTGGAGGCCGGGGAGGACGTCGCAGGGTGAGGAAATGAGCTTCCTTACCGCAGGCGTCGGGAAAGCACATTCGCAAGAGGTGCGATAGGTGAGAGCCGTTGTAACATGATGCAAGAGCGGAAAAGAGAAAATGAAGGGGAAATCGCAGGCGAAAGTAAGAGGGGAGCTGATCAAGCGCTAGAGGAGGCGGAGGGGATACTGGAAAGGGAAATCCAGGGCCGGAGAGTCCTGTTGACGCGGTCGCATTCGGTCGACTCACTATTGCCATTGCAGGTTATCTTGCCAAACACATGCCGCAATATTGCTCGCTTCGAATTGGAAGCCGCTTTCCCCTCCGCCTGCGCTTTCACGTCGCTGCCAAAAAACCCCCTCTTTCCGCTCCCGCCTCGCCTTCTCCTGCCATCGCTTACGCTCCCTTACTTGCACCTGAGCATCCTGCTCCCTCTATGCCGTCAACCCGCGAACGCCACGGCCCTGCCCCGTGCTGCTCATTAATGCGGACAGGGGAGGTGACACTACCACGGAACTGATCTGCATGGTAAAGCGGCGCGTATAGCTTTCGCAAATGCGAAGCGTCGCATGACACCAGACGATTTCATGTCGGAGGCCATCGCAAGCGGTGCAGTGGGTAGCTCAGAGGCACTCCCAACGCCGTTTCGAGCGTGACTTCTCTAGTGCACATCAAAAGGGACGCCACTATTGCTAGATAAGCGCAGGCTACTCTCGACAGAGAGATTTTCGCTCGCGCGAGTAGCAACGCCGACGCCGCTCGCCGTGTTTGGCGCATTTCAGCAGTAGCTGGTAGTACGCCAGCGCGTCCGCCGTGCACAGCTTGACGACACTCGCACGCCGTTTCGAATCTTAAAGTAACTGAATTGTGCTGGGAAGCAGAGGGGCTTCTAAGGGTTGAATGGACTAAGCAGCCATACTCCGGCTGTTGAGAACACAGTGAGCACTGACAACCGGTTTCAGATAGGCGCGATATAAGGAAGCGGATCGACTGTTGTGCAGTGCCGTGTGACGCGAGGGCAACCATCGTCATCGGATTGAGGCGCGTCTGGTAGATGCCCCGTAATTACCGCCATAGCTGTTTTGTACAACATTGTGAAAGCTGAGTACCCAGAAATGACGATAATGTGATTCAAAAGCCTCATAATGTACAATGAAGGGCTAGACGAGCACAACCTTGCTAGGCGAAAACCTCGGTTGGAGAGGTTTGGGAAAAGGTGGAATCGAAAAGTTCGGAAGCAAAACGAGTCAGCTTTGGTGTGGTAAACTCGACCGAGCCTGATCCCGTCAAGTTCGGGGCTTCGTACGCGTATGCGACTTGAACGAATCTGGTAACGTCGCCTTCGTGAACCAAAACCGAACGCAGGCCTCCGATGTTTCCGCCTTTCTCGAGCCGAGCCTGTTGCGACAGCCGTACACCCTTTGCTTCGGCATTGCAAAGCTTGAGTAGTCAGTCGTTCCAGCTTTGAAGTCCCTCGTAGGGAACTTTGCTGCGACTCGAGCTCCAGACCTGTTCCCCGTGATCTTGGAGCTTCGCACAATGCCGAACGACATGAACGAACTCGGTACTGTAACCTTAGGGCGTGTAACTTTGCACCAAACGAAATGGTCGACCATATGGGCGGTTCTGACGATTGCGAATTTGTAGGGTTACACCCACAGATTGTAATTACCTAGTAGTCACCCTTACTTGACAGAAAACGGATTGTCTTCTTTTGTGTAAACTTGCCAACCGAGCTAGTTGAAACCTCTACCTAGCAGGACATCAATGTTTGACATTCTGTTTTCGCCCCCAATAGTGTTTTCATACCACCGTTATTTTGCTGAACACTCTAATCTACCCGCACCCACTACTTTCCACACCCGGTTCGATGCTAAAACTGGGCTCAAACCCTCCCCGACGAATTACTGGGGTGGTTTAGGGTGGTTGTTCCGCGTCCTGGCGAACAGCATGGTACACACTCGTTCTCACCCTTCTCACCATCTCGCGCACTGGCTACAGTGTTTGGACGTAGCGGGCTGTTGCGATAACTCGGTTGCGGGCAAAGTCGCACGAGGTGACGAAACAAGCCTTGGGCAATAAAAAACCGTTAACGCTGAATATCCGTCCCAACCGTTTTGAAAACGACAGTACCATTTCATAAAGTTTGAAACTTTGACTGACCGCCTTGGGTCAAATTGTCACTATAACGCATGTGATAGGACCTTCTTTGGTCCGTTGCGGTTACACTAGGCGTCCCGGTCAGTCTAACATATGCCAGTCTATCGAGAAAGAGGGTGTGGTTGTGCTCAAAATGTTTGGCGGGGCTCGCCTAATCGTTACAGGTTTCGCTTTCGCAAGAGCCGGCCTTTTGGTCGGATTTTGGGCTTGGTCGAAGCTAAGGGCGTGTAAAATTGTAACGACCAAACGCTATGGTCGATCATTTGGGCGTTTCTGGCGAGTGCGAAATGTGTAACACTCAACGAACCCCGCCACAAACTTCGTCAGCATTTGGGGCACCCACCCAAAACCACCCCCTTAATAAAAAACGATTTTTTATATTCCCTTTACTGCATTCGAAAGGGGTGTGGAATAGGGGGATCTGAAGCTTAGACTAGAGTGTTTACCAAAGCAGCAGGTTTAGGTAAACGGAAAAATATCTCCCCGATGAGCATTAGTTTAGGCATGTCCCAAAATGCGGTGCGTAAATTTCTGTTCAGAAATTACCAGTGAAACTCGGTCATATCGGGGTGACTACTCCAATCGGCGTAACCCTAATTCCTCAGCAATCGCCAGAAACGCCCAAATGATCGACCATAGCATTTGGTCGTTACAATTTATCACGTCATAAGTTACACGCCCTAAGTTACACGCCCTTATAAAGTTGCTTCCAGCAGGGAGAACTGATTCAAAGCAACCCGCCTCAAAGGCCTCCGCTCTCTCAATCGCCTCGAGGAGCCACTGCCTGAGCACAAAGCAGAGCAACATTCATCCACCCACACTCGTGGCTTTCACGTAAGAATTAGGCGCTATGCTTCATTGTCGGACCTAACAGGTTCAGTCGTCGTGAAGAGTGCTTTGAGCTTTCGATTCGGCGCGCTTATGCTCTTCCTGCCGATGTGTTTCGCCGCAGTCCGGTAGTGCTTTCCTTCCGCCATCATGTCACGCCGCCATTACGCCACGTCACGTCGTCAATTCGCCACGTCACACCGTCATTTCGCCGCGTCGCGCTGCCATGACTGTGTAGTAAATCGACAGAACCATTCATGTTCTCTCGGCGAGACGCACAAGTCGTTAGTATGAATTCCGTGGCATCATCCCAAAAATGTTCGGGCCGAAAAGCCCCCCCCAGGTTACCCACAGCTTACCTCAGGGCGGGATACCCCGGGGTCCTTGTCAAGGTAACCTGCGGGTAACCTCGGCAAAAACCACTTCGCGTGGTGACCCCCAGGTTACCCACAGGTGGTGACCCACTGGAAACCCGAAGGAAACCCCTCCCAGGCAATTGGAGCAAATCACACGCGAGCCGCCTCTGCGCTATGCAAAACCTCGCCAACAATACAGAATGTTGCCTACAGTACACTAAACGCAACTACAATAGTCTGGGCTTACGAATCGGAAAATGCACAGCAGTATTGTAAACGATAACAAGCTGATTGTTCTGGTTTTTATCACATTCCGATAAAGCCCCATCTATAAACGATATAAATCAATTTCTTTCGGGGTTACTTATTTTCAATTATGATTCACATACATCACAACAATTAACCGATAGCCGATTTTGTGAATTACTTTGAGCAGGTTGCTATTATTAACACTTCCATTATTCCATTATGTAGACACTTGGAAGTACCGTACATCATCGCCACTGCGTGTGAGGATCGTCACCGTAGTCTGCAAACAATGGCGACATTCAGACGAAGCCACGGAACAAGTGCGGCAATTAGAGTGCAGAATACGCGCGCGAATGTCAGCGTTAGAAATAAGCGCGCACGACTAACGTACCTCGCATAAAGTCTTGGCGCACGATTGATGGACTCCCGTGCGCTGTAGCGGGCGGGATTGATCATCTCGCCACACTGCAGATTCTGCGTCTAAATGATAATAATTAGAGATGAAAGAAACACATTAAGCGCTGTAATAACGAAACCCAAGGGTACGTGCGCTACATCTGGGAAGACCCTGAAAAAA